AGGTTCTAGTGAAGAGAGGAATAGCAATGATGAATCCAGTAAGGATTCTGGTCATTAAAGCAGTACCTCGAGCAGGTCTGAATCAAACCACAGGTGACACGATAATTCTGCTCACTCGTCCGAGAATGTACAAAGTAAAGTTGAATTGTCTCGTGATATGCAGAGATATCTGCATGACAAATTCACATCTTAAGTTAAGGACAAGGCGCTTCAAGAGTCTGTGCTCGAGACAAATCCGGTACCTGAGGTAAAATGTCTTTAGAGCCCCGAGGTTGATGATTACCTGGACGAAATATTCCAGACACTGGGCAAGTGATAGGGCCGCGAAAACGACGGCACATTGTCAAAATCACAAACCCGCATTAACAACGTCATGGGTCCATTGGTGAGTCTTTGGTTAAACCTGGAAAAGGTTTGACTGGCGACTCTGGCGATGAGTTGGACATGTTTGCTTGCCTGAAATTGGTTGACTAATCGGTCACTTTGGTAGGGCAGGCCAATATGAGTTTGACTTATGCTTGCCGGTTATGGATATTAGGTCGTCTCACCGGTGATATGAAGAAAGCAAAAAAGTTTCTGAACAAGCACGAGTCATCTTTAACCCGTTCTCAAAAGAATCTGTTTGGTAAAAGGTTCTATAAGGCCTTTTGCACGGCCGCCAAAATTCGGATGTCTACAAAGGAGATTTCCAACCACCTATGAGGCTCCTCTCAGAAGCCTCGTTCCTCAGGATACGAAGTTTCCACCCCTCGTGGAGTTAGCCATCGTTGAAGAGGCTCTAGAGAATCTCATCAGCCCTTTCGAGGCGTGCGCCCATCACACAGTCGAGTTGGGGGCATATCTATTTCTTTCCAGCCAAGACCACCCTCCAGACTTTTTAGCAAAGGCAAATCTGTCAGATTTAGGGTCAAAGGGAGATCACCTGATACCCAAAGCCCCACTACCGCTTCCAAAACCTCAAGGGGAAGCAACTCAGTTTGTTCATCCTCTTTTACTGACCCTAGGGATGGACACCTCCATTTTGAACCAACTGTTCCCTTAAGCAGGGCGGTTCCAGTATTTTCTGACCAGTTGGAGACTCCCGACACGGGATCAGTTCATTTTAAACATGATCGAGGGAGTCTTAATGCCCTTTGTAGAAACCCTACATCAGGCACGGGTGCCCCCGCAGACGTTTCACCACCAGCCACAAAGGCAAGCAATAGAACAAGAAATTGCGGAAATGTTACAGAAAGGGGAAGTTCAGGTGATCTTCCCCCTGAAAGGGGAATTTATATCAATACAGTTTTCTTAGTCAAAAAGAAAAATGGGGACCAGCAATGAACTTAAAACAGTTGAACAGTTTTGCTCTTTATCAACATTTCAAAAATGGAGAGACTAAATTGGCTAAGGTACTTAATCCAAAAGGGAGATTGGATAATAAAACTCGACAAGAAAGATACTTACTTTACTGTGCCAATAGATCCACAGCACCAACCTCTCCTTCGTTTTATTTATGTGGGCACGAGATACCAATTTTCGTGCCTCCCATTTGGCCTAAGTCCCGTACCTTTTCTATTCACCAAGCTTTTGAACCGGCTGTGGCCCTTCTACGGAGACTGGGTCTGAGACTGATTATTTCTCTAGACGATATAATATAACTCAGGAGGGTATTTTAAGGGACAAGGACTCGACCGTTTGGTTACTACAGCATTTACGCTTTGTAGTCAACTGGAAGAAATCCGTGTTACAACCAGCATAGTGCATAAAGTATCTCGCTTTCGTGAACAATTCTTTGGAGATGAAACTATTTTTGCTCAAGGGAAAAATGTCCCAACTCTTTCAATCCTGCAGACATCTGATTCAGGAGAAAAATGCATCAGTAAGAACTGTGTCACAGATTATTGGGAAACTGACCTCATCTGTAAAGGCAGTTCTCCCAGCACCCCTCCAATGGGCAAGGGGTACGAAACTGTGCTTCCCTTGAGCGAAGATAGTCGGAAGGACCTCCAGGGTGGATCGATCAAATGTCCACACGGAATGGTCGCTCAATAATCACACCAGCCCCAGATTTGACCATAACAACAAAACAAGCGGCTGGGGGGAGTGTGTCAGGGGAAGTACACAAGGGGAATTTGGACCCGGGAGGAATCCAGTTCCCTTCACATAAATGCCTTGGAGCTGAAAGCCGCTTGTTTTGTTATTAGAGCCTTCACTGTCAATCAGAGGCACCTGCATGTCCATCTGAGAATGGATAACAGGACTGCAGTGGCTTACTTGTTGAAGATGGGGGGAGACGCGATCCCCTTTATTGCTAGGGACAGCCCAGGAACTGTGGGACTATGCCTTAAACAAGCAGATAACAGTGACTGCAGAATATCTGCCTGAGGATTTGAACCACGAAGCAGATTGGCAGTCAACAAATTTCCGGGATTCGAGCAACTGGAAACTAAACCCTACAGTTTTCCAGTCACTAAATCATCAGTGGGTTCCCCTGACAATAGATCTGTTTGCAGATCGC